GAGTTCCCACAGCCAGGGACACTGTGCCAGTCACAGCAGCTGTGGTGAGTTGCTTAGGTAGGCAAGGCCACAGTGCTGGGAGAGGACAGACAAGCTGAAGGTTTAAAAAAAAGAAAGTGAAAATCTTGGAATTGCTGTAGAAGAATATGTGGGAAAGTCTCTGCTGTGGACATAAAACAAGGGGAAAAAATAATCACTCACAGAAGGAAGGGGATATTCCTTACCCGCTTTGCCAGGGCTGTTTTAAGGGTTTTCCTAGAATCACAGGGTACCCTAGGCTGGAAGGGACCTCAGGCCATCATCTAGTCCGACCTGCTCAAAGCAGAGCCAGCTCTGAAATCAGATCAAGTTACTCAGTTTGTTAGATTAGACCTAGTTTATCTAGTCAAGTTTTGACAACCCCCAGGGACACAGAGTGCACTCCTTTTCTGGGTTCTTGTTCCTCTGCTTGACTGCCAGCATGGTGAAAAGATTTTCCTTATATCCAGTCTGAACCTCTCATGCTTGAACTTAAGCTCCTCACCTCTTGTCCAGAATGCATGTCTGTGAAGGCTGTGGTTCCATTGTTGTGACAACCTCCATGCAGGTATTGCAGAGTTTCTAGGGGTGCCCCTGAAACCTCCTTCTCTGCAGGCTGAACAGCCCAAATCCCTCAGCCTCTTCACACAGGGAGAGCCCTCTGAGCATCCTGGCTCTCTGCTGAACTCACTCCAGTCAGTCAGTCTCTTGTTCTGGGGGTCCCAAAACTGTATGTAATATTCTAGATGCAATGTTCCTTAGTTTTCTTTATCCTTCAGGTGCTGGATCTCATCCCTTGGAGAGAAGCCAAATCAGTGACTAGACCTGTCCAGATGATCCCAGATGGAGAAGCGGAGCTTATCAGAAACTCCAATATCTCATGGACTTAATTTTTTTTTAAGCTTTGACAAACACACAAAAGTGGTAATGTGGAGAAGTCCCTCCCCTACTTCCTCTGTGTTCACATCAGCTTGATTGTCTCCTTTGTCCCTCCTGCCTGAAGCCTTCAGGCCTCGATTTGTGTGCAAAGCCCGTGTGGGACATGGTGTGGAGCATTTCTGAGCTCTAGTGCCATTTCTATATTAATGACAAAGTGTTATTTATATTTTCTTTTTAGAAGTGACCTCTTGCTGAGAGGTAACACAGTGTGTTAAATAAGCCAGGCTATGTGTAGATGCTGTTATCTCCTACTTAAAGGAGTCCAGCCTTTGATAAGCTCAGGGCTACACCTGCCTTAGAAACCAGATAGCACCTTGAAATATAGTAGTCCAGAGGGATACAGCTGCTGAATGGATGTTCAGATACTGACTAATCCCAGTAGCAAATCCTAGCAGCCAGCAAGTTATGTGAGTGATTTTGAGGGAGTTGAAGCATTGGACTGTCTCCTTTCTCCTCTCCCCTCCTCCCCCTTTCATGCTGCTCTGATGGTTTGGCTAAGAAGGGTCTCCTGCCATGATGATTAGTTTGAACAGTGGGGGTAGGGAACTGGTAGCTCAGAATGTTCTCATCCTCACTTCCTGTATTTAAACCATGGACCTCATTGTATCTTCTGACTGGTGAAGAATTACTGGGGACCTCTCCCTCAAGCAGATGCTAGAACAAAGGGCTTAAGAAAGGGTATTACCTTTGTAGGTAATGAACCTTTCCTTCCATAGGAAGTTTTTCAGGCACTTGTAGCCCCTGTTATGGCTGTGAGGAATGCTGGCAAGTGCAGTGAAAACAGAGCTTGCAGTGTGCTTGCAGCTTTGCTGGCTCACTTTGGAAACAGGTCAGAGGGTTTCTTGTTTCCTTACAGGCTGCAAGCATGCCTAAGGGAAGCAGTGCTTGTCACTGTGCATATGGGAAAGTGAGGAACTTGGTTTAATCATTGTTTTCTTCTTTGCTGTGGTTGATGTAGCTTCCATAGACAGATCTGCTGGAAAGGTTTCTCGGACCCAGCCAGCTGTGCTTCATTTTTGTCTTCTGTACAGAATGCTCTCTGTACCCCATTAGCCTGGGCACATACTTTTGTTCTTGTTCTTGTACTGGTGGGGATGTTTGTTATCATGAGATAATTTATGTCGTCACTTCTGATAGCAATTGTTTCCTGTGGAAACAGCAGCTTCTGAGTAAGAGGCTACCATAGCATGGGTTAAATTGCCTGTCATGCTGCATGTGCCTGAGGACACAGTGTCATCCTGTGGTGTATTCACAGTAGGAAATCTTCTAAAGGGAAACTAAATATTTAATGCCCACAGTGCCAGTCTTCTGAAAAGATTTGTCCTAAGTTCAGTACACTTTGGAGGTACTTAAAAGACATGAAATAGAGATGTACCTTCATGTTACATATTCTGCCAAAGCAACGTCCCTGACAGCACTGGGCTAGTTGTGAGACCCAGCAAAGTTAACTTGTATTCTCTATAGTCCCAAATGAAATATTTTAAAAGAAGCAAACATCTGAGAAATAATACAATCATCTGTTTACTTTTGCTTTCTGTACCCAATAAGTTAGGAAAAAAGTTATATTTAAAGGAATTCACATTACATCTCTTTAATCAACAAGCACCAAAATCCAGCTGTTCAGAGAATTAATACAAGGCAATATCTGGGTATAAGATTAAAAGAAAAATTTCAATAAACACATTTTCTGTGTATAAAGCTTATTAAAAACTTATTCTCTGAATGATGGAAGTAAGTGGTATGTGTTGGGAGAATAAACTCTAAAGGTTTGTGGTTTTTTTGCTTTTTTTTTATTTTTAAGTCTTACCCTCTCCTTGCTCCACTAAAAAAGAAATGCATTGTAGAAGCTATGGTATACTGGCTTGGTTATTCTGCTTGGTGTTTTGTGAGGCACTGTAGAAGGCCACCTAAGATGGATTGTACTGTGTAACTACATGGCACGTTGAGGTAAAATGTGGTTCTAAAAAAGATTTGAATATTCTGGTTCGTGGTGTTCCTGGGTGTACTGGTCTCACTCACATGCTGTGGAAATCTCTGCCAGTACACCAGTCTCTGCAGGCCATACCACAGACACCCTTCACCTGGTTTCTGTGTTGGGTTTTACATTCAACATGTACTTACATCCCTGCTGCCTGTATGTCCATGCAGACTTACAGGCTACCTGGCCATGAATAGATGGTTTTTATAACAAAATGCCTTTCTACTACTTACATGAACAGTTGTCATTGTGTTTGGCTCATGAGGCACTATTTAAAATGTTTTTAATTAAAATTATAGCACTTAAAATTGTTTTGTATAAAATTTGCTGTAAAGATTTGTAATATGGTCAAAGGGCTCTTTCTCCTTCATTACCATTTTTAAAAATGTTTTAAAAGCTAGAAAGCATCTTGTATATATTCTGTATATGTATAGCAGCACATTTCATTTATGGAAATATGTTCTCAGAATATTTATTTACTAATATATTTATCTTAAGCCATGTCTTATGTTGAGAGTGTGTGACATTATTGTAATAATCATTGAAAATCACTAACACGAGGCCCTGTAAATACATGATAATTGCACACAAAGATTTTACAGTACCTGCCGACCAAAAATGATTTAAGAGAAGTTGTAGTTACCTGCAGTTTTGTAAGAAAGTGTACAAATGTCTGTATTAAAAGAGAAAAAAAGGCAAAACCACACAAAAATACAGTTTTATTGCATATACATGTGGGAGTTGTTCTTCTTGTTTTGGGGGAAAGGACACAGATAGTTGTTCTCCTCAAAGTACAGTCCTAGATATGCTGAGATGAACTCTAATAGACAACATTTTTTCTTTTTTTTTTTTTTTTTTTAATAATAGATAGGTGGATATGTATATCCATACACACACACAGAGATCATAAGTGGTTGTGGTTTCCTTTGGAGGCAAGCCATAATGTTCTTAGGACCATTCAGTTTTCCCCAAGTGCCACAGTTGAATTTACCAGGTGTTGTGCACAGTGTGAGTCCAGTACTGGACAGTTTTAACTGTCCCCAGGTGTGAGTGAACAGGGTGAGTGTTCATGAGGGTGCCTGGTGCCCCAGTGTCCCTGCTCACACCTGCTGTGGTTGCTGTTGAGGTGGGGAAGCTCCATTCCTTGTGGGGGAACAAAGGTTACAGAGGGAGGCAGGCACAGAAGGGAAAGCAAAGGCTTAGGAAAGCCTTTATGTTTGGAACCCGCCTGTTCCTTGTGGCCAGGGCAACTTAATTCCGGTATAATTTGAGGTAAAAATAATTTACTGTCCTGAAAGAAAATGGTTTTGAGACCTGAACCAGCATGATGGAGGTGGACACAACTGGATGAATCACAGCTTGAATAGTCAAGCTAGATCCAAATCCTTGCCTTGGATCATGAAATTACTGGTCCCACTGAAGTGATAATCAGTGCTGTGCTACTTGTTTTGTCAGCAGAGAGCACAGTTTGACCAAAGATGTCTATGCAGACACTGAAAGAGGGGGGCCTGGGGATATGTGGCTCTGTGTGTGTGTGTGTGTGTGTGTGTATGCATTTATGTGATACATGTTTGTATGTTGTTGTGTAAACAGTTTGCCTTCATGCATATTTCCCATCCAGAGATACACACACACACAAACGCACACAAAAATCTTTTCCAGACTCCTCCTCCAGTTTCTTCCTTCTCCCAGAGATTTTTACCAAGTAATCCCCTGGACTCTCCCCTCCTCTTATCCATGTTCAAGTGCACTGTAATTCAGTCACCTCGGGATTCAGCCAAGAAATGAGCCTTACTTCTCTCCAACCCCCTTTATATGTGAAAACTCCATGTTTGGGATGACAGCCTGTTGAACTGGAGTGTCATTTTGCATGGGACCCTTTGTAGCAGGAGGATCAGTTATCATCCTCATCTCAGGTACAATGGGAAAGCCTGTCTGTATGCAAAGACAGGCACAATAATGGAAGAGCAACAGGCAGGCAGGAATTAAGAAGCATCAGCAAGCACTTCTCAGTTAAAGTACCTGCCCCTTTTTCCACTTGGAAAACGGGAAATTGGCATTTTATCTGCAAATCAGGTCATTAAACAACTGTTTTTCCAAACAGCATAAAACTTGCCATCTGTGTTTGGCTGATGTGCCTGTGTTGACAGGTCACATCTGAGTCTCCTTCCTCTTCCCTTCCTCCACCCCCCACTTGCTATTGTTGACTTGTGTTTTGTTTTCTTGCTTCTTGTTCTGAAGAAAACTGTGAGGTGATTGTGCCTTTAAGAGCAGGGCATACCTTCACTCTTGCTGTCCCACAAAATAATCAGTGAGCCCATCCTCTCTTTCTGTGAGAAAGACAGTTGTGGGCTGCTGGCTGAACTTTTTATGTGATGCTTAGTTGTGTGTGTGATATTCTGTTTCTTCTTTGTTGTGGCTTTTTTAAACTGACTAAATGTAAATATTTTCTGTCAAAAATGAAAATTTTGATACTTGGCAGGGGACGGTTCTTTTTTCTATTGAGGTTCAATGTTTAAGGAACAAATTAGTGGCAAAATGAGTCCTGTGGGCACCACAAACCTCCACAGAATCTTGATACGGTAAAAAAAGACAAGCAGGAGCAGACTATTCTTAATGGATTGTACATTATAGTAACACTTGGTGTTTCTGTAACATTATCTGCAATATCATGTGCATCTGTCAAATCCTGTGACAGCTGTTAGGTAACGTTTGTTGTTACTTGGGTAGTGTGAAGAGAAAAATGCCCTTAAAAGGATGGCTGTGTTCATACCCCGTGGAGCCAGCCTGGCCTAATTCTTTGGCCAGGGAGACAACAGCATACCTGAAACTGGATATTTTATCTTGCAATGAAAGGGCCGTGCCCCTGTGACTTAAATGCTTCATAGAAAAGCGTCTCTTTCAGAATCAAGAACACATTTCTCTCATGGGGAATGAAACTGTTGCTTAGGAAACAGCAACAGAAAAAAAGGCAACAGTTCCCAGAATAAACCAAAGTGCAAGAGGAGTCTCATAACTGGAATGGCAAGAAAGGAGAGCAGAGTAACCTACCCTGTCTAAGGGGAGGCCAGTCCCCTGTGACAGTTGCGTTTCTAAGAGAAAAAGAGAGTTTGAGTCTTCACATGAAAAGCTGGAGACAGTTTGGGTATCTGACACTGGTATTCTGGTGTTTACATAAAAGGTCACTGAAGATTTCCTAAACTGTAGCATTATTTTGGTCAGGAGGAATTAATTAAAGAAAAGATGAATCTCACAAGTAAGTGGAAACAGCATTACATGTTACTGGAATTCGTAAAGAAAACACTGAAAGAATTGTTACAGTTCTTTGTAACAGTCTGAAAACACGTAAACTGAAAACTTTCAATTTGCTGTTACCTCAGAAATTGTGTGTCAGAGCAATATTATACTTTATATATGTAATCATTCTCAGCATTTTCAGCTCAGATATTCTCTTCTAACCTCCACAGTGGACAGCCCCATTGTAATCTGCTGGTGAACTGCAGCAGTTTCTGCTTCCTTTATTCCATGCTTGTATACAAGTTAGCAGTCCTAACAACTCCTTCTGCACAAATGTATTTATTTTTTCATAATTATTATTTACAGCCATTTGTTGAATGCAGGGTGACCAGCTATAAACACAGCACATATTTCAGTGGTGAGTCATCTCAAGTTTGATTTATTCTGGTTTCTTGACAGCCTTATGTGGTTCATGCCTTTGCATTTGTAGTAAGTTGTCTTGAGACTGAAATTCAGAATGCTGAGTTTCACCCCAAAGCACAGGTGCTCAGTAAATTTGAGAAAGTATGAGCTGCATGAAATGTATGTGTATCAGGAATGTGTTGTTATAGGAAAAATAGTGTGGTCTGAAGAGAATTCTATTTTTCACTCTCAAGGTAGCAGAATTCAGAAATGAGTAGCAGAGTTCATAAATTCCTAGAACAATGTTCAGGTGAAACTATCACTGAACTATATTTCATTGGAAGATTGTGAAATATTGATGCAAGGTATTAAGAACTAGTTGGACAAGTATTTGTCAGTTGTTTTTGTAGTTCACCCTTCCTTTAGGCAAAGTGGTGCACTAGAAAAATCTGTTAGTAGTCCTTCCCACTGCCTGAGAAGGCTCATTAAGCAGAAGATGAAAGTGGAATAGCTGGTCATGCTCTTTCAGTGGCAGCCATGTGTCTGCTGATGGGTTTGGTCTGTAGTCATACAGGCTGCACATTCAGTACAGCTTCCAGGGCTATCTGTAAAAATCTCCCATTTATACTCCTGCCAGGGGGGCTTGGAATACAAACACCATAATTCTGCAATCCCACTAAGTTGTCTGCATGAGCAATGTGATAAACTTCCTCAGCATTGTACTGGCTGTAGAAAGTCTGGCCAGAAACAAGTTCTAAAAAGGACGACGTTAATGCTTTGAAAAAGCAGATCAGCTGTTTGAAGGAAAAAGTGGTTCAGAGAGTATATGCATATGAATTTGTAGAATCTGATGAACAGCCTAATACAAATACAAGCTAGAAATGAGATTCAAAGGAGGTAAGTGCTTCTTAAAGCAATTGTTTCATCAGCATCTATTTGGCCATAGAACTGAGTCTGAGTTACCCTGTTCTCAATGACCTTCTGTTACAGATACCAAAAAAGTATCTTTGATTTTTTTCCTACAGTTACAGTGTATAGAAAATTTATTTTTCCCAGAGTGTAAACTAACATCTTTTCTTCCTATAAAATGTTAGCAAGATACAAGCATAATATGCTGTATTAAATAATGCATTTCCTATACATATATAAATATATATATTACTATGATAACATATCACACATTTTTACATAACACAGTCTCTATTTCCCCACAACATAACAATATTAAGACAAAAATACATATAAAATCATTTAGTCAACAAACTAAACTAGTTTTAAACATAGATTTTGTATTAGGGAAGGCACTTGTCCAGCTGGCCCCTTTCCACCTGAGGTCCACACACAGTGTAGGCTCTGGCACGCAGCGTCGAGGCTCGCAGATTGCTGCAGTGGCAGTGCCAGCAGAAGCACTTGCTGCCCCAGCTTCTGGGGCAGACAACTTGTCTTTTTCCTATGGCTTATTGTCCACTTAGCTGTGTTAGCTCATCTCTCTCTGCAACCACCCAATAAACAATATCAGAGAACTCATCTCTGTGAAAAGTAACTCAGAGAAGAAAAGGCGATGGCAGTTTTTGACCTGTCAGTTTATTGCAGCACCACACACCGGTCAGACCGACACCAGAGTGAGAAGGGGGCCGGAGCTGGAGCTGGAATGCATGTATGTATATGAGGAGGCATCTCCTCAGGATTACTTTGTTGTCAAAACAGTTGCTTTTGACATTGTAGCCAATGTCAGACTTGCAGCCTGTCCAGCCTGTTGAGGGAACTGATAGGCAGGACATCAGAAGGCCATTCAGATACAATTCCAAACAAATTCTTCTTCTGCAGTTATTTTCACTTTGCTGAAGAAAGTGGTGTAAACAGTCACCTCCTGAGGTGTCCGTGCTCCCCAGCTGTCAGCACTCAGCTGCTTGTGTAGTAGGGGCATGCTGAATCATGTGGGATTACAACAGTTGTGCATGTCACACGTTTTGTTTCTCTCTCCCCCCAGACCCTTACAGCAAATATCAAAAAGTGCTATGTTAATGGATACCATATACCTTGGCCATATACCACCACACCCTGAAGTGCTTGTACGAGGAGTGTGAGTGACAGAACCACATTTGGAAAAAATTCACAGCAGAGATCTACCTGCTCTTTAAGGTCTCAGGCCTGTACAGTAACAAGTGCTATTTAAGGGTCCCTGTTCATGCATTTCCATCTATTGCTCTGTTTGCAAGCATTAGAGGTATCTAGAATCAGATAATCTGGAAGATTTGCGGGAGTGGGGGGGAAATGGGGACCTCACAATTTCCACTGAGCTTTTATTAGTATGTTACCCATGTACTGTCCAATACCTTCTGCATAGTCATGTTTTTTGTTGCCATGACCAGTTAATCTGCTGTAACTGCTGGTTTTATGGGTCTTTTGTACAGAAATTCGATAAGCATTCCCTAAGAAAGGCCCATGAAATGCGATTTTATTATATAAAAAACAGTTGAGAAGCTAAGGGACTGATGCAAAAATCTCTTTCTAAATTCTCTAGATTTTCCATTAGTGGCTTCAGTCTTAGTTGTTGTTTTTAATGCTCGTCTCCAACTTTATAGTGAACTTAAATTCTTTACTAAGGAAGAGAAGCCTAGCAGTTCTGTAGTTTCCTGCAGTAGGTAAAAATCAGTCATGGGGCATTCCCGATGGTTTTTTTCCGTTTTTCAGCAGTAGCTAACTGCTTTGTGAATGTCTCTTTTACTCTATATGTTTAACTGCTCACGAACATTTGATGAGGCAAGCAAACAAAGCTTCACCAGTTTGTGATAAGCACTATGTGCTCATAACAACTCTTAAGGGTCTGGGCACCACACTGCAATTCTCTCCTCCTGGTTTTCTATTAGTGCACCACATTAAGCACGCTTAGGAACCAACTTACTTTGTTCTGCTATGAATCTGTGAGTTGGACTCTTTCTCTATGCAGCATGATCAAAGCCTGACTGTTAAAAAGGCAGTTTCAGAATTTTTGTTGGTTTGAAGCAGATCATGTGTTTTGGTCTAACATGAAGGCACGGTAGAGAGAACCAGCAGCTTATTTTTTACAACTCGTCCTATCTTGATTTTAGGTAATACAGTAATTATAGTTTCCTGTATTCTTTCCAGCAGCTCATGCAAGAAAGTACTAGATGTTCCCATGATATTCCATTTTTGATATAAACAATTTCATAATTGCTGGCTTAGTAAAGGTCTTGTTTCTTTTAGGCACATATGGTGGCATTGTTCAGCTGTTGCTGGCACTCATCTGTGCTACATAAATAGAGCTGGATTGAATTCAGTTCAGGTAAAAGACTAGATCTACAATGGCAAGTAAGGCACAATATTTCATTGTTTAATTCTTAGATGCCCTATTTTTTCAAGGAAATCTGTAGCCCATGTGAAGGGGAGGGAATTATATGTTAAAAAACATAAGGGCAGATACTATAATGAATTTGAACTTGGTGACAATTTTCTTACTTTTTTTAGTTACCTCTTGTAGATGCTCTTAATAGATGTTCTCTGACTGCATGTATGGTATGTCTCGTATATGCAGACCACTGTATATGTTTAAACTTAACCAGTTTAATGGTTCTCAGTGAATTTCCTCAAACATAGTTTGAGGAGCTGCTCACTCAGTAAACTTTGCCAGTCAGTTTATCTGTCTTCTGCATTGACAGTTTTTCCTAAATATCTTGATGCTCTGAACTTGCTGATCCCACTTTAGGCTGCTGAGATTAATATCTGTAACTTCAGAGTAAAAATTTGTTAGCTTCACTGTTTAAAAAATTCAGTGGATTTACAGTATCTCTGGGCAATCCTTTAAGAAGGAACCCAGAATGGATGCTGGACTTCAGGCTGGAGTACAATGGTTTTTTAAAGGATCGCTGTGAATATGAACAAAATTATCATAAACATCAGTGAATGATGGGTCAGACACAGTCATTTAAAAGGCTTCATTGCTCGTGCAGGCCTTGCCCTGGTGAGCAGGACTCCATCAAAACGTGTGTTTGCAGCTGAAACTTGATAGAGCAGCTCCTGAATTTGATTTTCATTTGTGCATCTCTGCTTGTAGAAACAGAAAATGTAGAAACAGCAGAGCACTGGGCAACCAGGCTGGTATGTTTTCCAAGTCTTTGGTTCCCATTTTACTGTACAGTACCATTTAGACGTGTTTACATTAAGGCCAATAAGCTCTGGTTGCTGTGGCAGCCGAACAGGTTATCTGTACCTACCTCTGTCTTCAGCCTTGAGAATAAAAGGACTAAAGTAGCCTGATAAAATACAGTGATACAGGAAAGCAGGACACAATAATTCCTCAACCTGCAGATATTCACTCAGTTACCTCTGGCAGGGGTACAGGACATTTTGAATTTTACAAGTTTTTACATATATTTTAAGTGCAGTAGTTTAAAGGCAGTAATTAAGAGCACTACAGATTTGATGAGCACCAGATACTTCAAAACTATTGCTGCAGTTAAATCTGTTGTCACTAATATACCCAAGAGAACAGCAGATAGGCAAAGTCACTCAAAGGTCTTTGGAAACGGACTTTTTGGAAAACAAGTATGAGACTGGGAGAAAAAAAGGAAGGACTAATCTCAAGTCACCTGGATCTTAAGAAGATCAATTCTTGTAAAACAGAAGGCACTTTAGTTTCCCACGAGTGGGTTGCAATCATCCTGCTGATTTCGGAGCTTTTTCTTGAAGATGGATATGGATGTGGATGGCTGGTAAAATATACTCCAGATCTCACCGGCAGTGGTGACATCACTGCAATCTTCAGTTTCACTTGTGGATGGAATCTGATGGGATCTAGGAGACAAGGGTGAATTCACTCCTCTATTTTAAGGTGCTTGGGAAGCTGTAGTGGTCTGTCTGCAGTGCTGCTGCACTGGGAATGCTCGCAGCTTCTCCCTCTGCACAATACAGAGGTTTTTGGAGCATTTCTTGGTTGTCATGGCCAAATGAAAAGTTAGGTATTCTACTGCCAGAATAGTTGCTACCCTAACAACAGCAGTGACATTAAGTTAAGAAATCTGTACAGATTCTGTTACGAGTTGCTATTAATACAAATTCATTTCCTTTTATATTTAAGCTTGTTTTTAGTATGTAAACACAACATTCAGAATTTTGATTTGCTGCTAACTCATCTATCATTTCATTCAATGAGTGTCCATCTAGAGGACACAAAACTTACTTGGTGTCAGCATAGAAAAATAAAGCAATAAATTATATTGGTTTTATTAATAGGCAAAAAACCATCTGGTTATGTGTCACATTATAATACAGATTTTAATTTTTGTGATTATTTTTTGAACCATTTTCAGTATTTCAGAAAAAGAAATTAAGTATTAACTAGCCTATATCTAACTTTTTTCCCCAGCTCCCCAATCTGGGATGAGGTTTTAATTTTTTTCTTGCAAAGCACTATCATACTTTGACCTCTTCTCACCAAATCTAGATGTCTGATTACATTTTCCTCTTTCCCTCTTCTTCCTTAAAATACAAATCTTGTCAAGACAAGACCAGAAGAGAAATTCTAGCAGCAAATGCTATCCTAACAGACTGGGAAGTTAAAAAAAATGTGCTTATTTAGTATCTTTTATGAGGATACAAATATGTAATAAATAACTGGGGTTTGAATATGACCAGTCTGACTATCAGAAGGCCAAGAAGATACCAGGTTTGGTACAGAGCTGAGATCTGAGTTCTCTGGGGACAGCTTTGCTCCACACTCACCTCATGGTAACGTGGAGAATTATCTTTGCTATTATGGCTGTAACACTTAGGATGAGCAGTGCTGTGAGACTGTATATTGTCCACTCTGTAAAAGAGAAGAAGAAAAGGAGAGGGGGGAAGTTTTGTTAGTACATTCATTTACTTACAGTTTTTAAAGTAAGAATATTGAAAAAAGAAACACGCAGCCTTCTGACGCTTTATTCAAAATGTAATTTGAAGATGCCTCAAACCTACAAGACTGGCAGAAACTACAACTTTCAGCCAGAACTGGCTTTTTCCTTGCAGGACTGCTCCCAATAAAATTGAAAGTTGGCAAAAGTCAAAGCATATACCAGTAAAATTATCTAGCAAAGGCACCAAAACTTAGAAGAAAATTTAAAAGCAGACTAGAATGTATGCTACAGTAGCAACTCTTATGATTGCAAGGAGGTGGTCCAGGTTTTTATCAGTAATTAGGTAGTTATGTAAGAAATCACAAAGTATGGAATGGGAGGAGTGTCTTCTAGAGTCCTGGTTAGCATTTGTGGTCTGCTCTTGGCCATTGCACTTTATATTTCAATTTAGTTCTGGTTGTAGGAGCAAGTCAAGCAGGACCCATTGTGTCATTGTAACATTAAGTTCTTGACACATGGCAGTTCTCAGTGGCACCTCCCCTGCACCCATGAACTTGTATTCTTTGTATTATTGATGAAGCTTTTGTTAATTGGGGTAACTGGGATGCATCCAGCATTCAAGCTTTTCTAGACTCTACAAAAGCTTGCTCTTTTTTTTTCAGCAATTTGTGCCACTCTCTAGTATGCACTGGTCACTGAAGCTGATTCTAGTGAGGAGGCTGCTCTGACTCACATTTTATTTTGATGTGTTTTCCTTCTCAAGACAGAAGTCACCATCTTCACACTATTTCTCATTTATGCTGAGAAGTAAGTTTTGAAATGTAAGGAGAGAATCACAGTTAGTGCTAATTAGACTGCATGAAAATTCATCTATTAGTAAGATGCGCAGTGAATCAGATAATGTGGAGGAGGAGCAAAGGAAATAGTGACTCCAGATTGTGCATTGGCAAAATGTTTTCCCTGTTTCCACATTTTATTGTAATATTACCAGGCATGGAGCTGGTAGGATGACTTGGGCTGGTTGTGATGACATAAAGTATCTTTGATGACCGAGCTGCATTGATGCTGAGATTTGCTTGTTCATTTATCCTCTCTGAAAGGGTGTGATTCACTGGAGTCTTGTTTTGATGCACATTGTCCTTCACAGCTGAAAACACAAGAGTATGATTAAAATAACAACTTCTTAACAGGTGGAATTGGACTTCATTTTGTGCTTGTAAACAGAAGTGCTGCTCTCTGGTTTACTTAAGAGAACTCAATCAAATTATGTCTGATTCCAGAAGAAGCCTGTATTTCACTAGGTTGGGGTTCTCATCATAGCAGTAGGTACAACTCAAGGACCAAAATGTTTTCATGATCTTCGATCAGAGAGGAATAAACTGTTGGAAGGAGACAAGAGGAGCTAAGATGCAGATGGAGTACTATTTATTTGTTTCACCTTTTGTCATTTTCTAATCTGTTTTGATAGACAGGTATAGGATTGAATTTTTGAAAACCTGAACTTTGCTATTTCTGACATAGCTGACTGGAGTGTTCCAAATTGAGAGAATTTTTGGCAAAGCTTTTACCCACTGTGCAGTGGCAACAAGAGAGATAAAACACCTGCTAAATGAGAGTTAAAATATTTGCTCTTTCATTCCCACTTCAGAAATCTCTTATGTGAATTAAATGCTTCACTGAAAGGTAGAAACAGGAAAGTTAGCCTCTCACCTCTATATCTGATAGCAAATCCCTGGGCTTGATTGATGTCATCTGAGAAAAAGTACAAAATGACAAAATCCAAAGAGATGTTAAAGGTGTGGGGAGGCCGGTTCTTGCCATTAAAACGAGCTAGAACATGGTAGGTATAGCCATCCAGCAATTCCACCATATCTGTAGCATCTTTGATTTCAAAAAGGGCAAAGCTGAAGTGGATTCGAGATGCTCCTGGAACTTGTATGGTCCAGTAACAGACTTTGCCTGTGCCATATGTGTCAGGAAAATCTGGGGAGTAGATCACAGCTGTAGCAGAAGTGTAATTCCCTCCACAGGCACCAATAAGGGCTGTGAAAACAAGAGAAGAGGGAGAAAATGGAAGAAAAAGAAAAAGAGGTTAAACATTAATTTTGCAAAACTGTAGCACCCTGTAGATTCTAATACTTGAATACTTGCAGGTGCAGACTTGCTATGCCAGCAGGATGCACTGTCCCTGGGACGGGTATTCTTTACCTTCCACGGCACTGGGAGCACGGCCAGTACATTGCATTTCCTTGGAATAGGCTCATCATGTCTCATTACTCAGACCTGTGCATCAATCTTGAATACTGCAACTGTCCTTTGTCCTTGCAGGTAACCACATACCCTTTCCCACATCCCCGCAGGAACAGGATAAAAGATAAATCACTGATTTATCTTCTACTCCATCCCTATGAGGCAGGGAGGCAAGTGGATTAGTGGTTATTAACTCTCACTGTTGAAGTACTGAAACTCCTTCACAGCTGTATCAAATTGAAAAAGCAAATATTCACAGAACAAATGAGTTTGGAAGGGACCCTGAAGACTGTCCACTCAAATCCCCCTGCTCAAAGCAGGAAACAGTGTCTAGTTGTATTTTGAGTCTCCAAGGATGGAAACTCTACAGCCTGTCTGGGCAATTTGTTCCAGTGTCACCCTCACCATAAAAAAAGTTTTTCCTTTTGTTTGAATGGATTTTCCTGTATTTCAGTTTGTGCCTTTTCACTCTTATCTATTCACTAGATAACACTGAGGAGAGGCTGGCTTCATCTTTACACCCTCCCATCAGTTAGTTACACAAATTGAAAAGGTTCCCCCCGTGCTTTCTTTTATCACAGCTGAACAATCCAAGTTCTCTCAGCCTCTCCTTGTATGAATGATGCTGTAATCCCTTAATCACCTCTGTCGCCATATATATGAGCTTTTCAAGCCTCCTGTCTTTTGATCTTGTCCAACTAATATTTGACCTTACCTTCACTAAGTAAATTGAAAAAGATCCTGTTACAAAGTCTAAAGAAAAGATTTGTTGCTACCTTTTATATTAGAAACAAGTACATGCCCAATACATTGTTATATTCCCTGACAACTATCCAGATTCCCAGTGCAAAGTTAATTACCAGTGAATCCAGAGAGCAACTCAAATGGCAGCCAACTGAGGATGCATATCTATATATACACGTATAATTTTTAAAAGATATTAGAGAGGTATATATATATATATATGTATAATATATATATATGTTATATATATGGAATATATATATTATATATATTATATAATGCATTTTATGTCAAAGCTGTTTGAATCAAAGTTATCAAAGTTATCATTCCCCAAAGACTGAAGAATCAAAGTAGAATTGTTGTCTCTGAAAGCTTGATTAAAGCCCTGTAAGACAGGCCTGTGAGAATGGAAGTAAAGGAACTGTTTTAAAGTGTCTCAGTTTTCACAGGCCCTGAGAAAAAGCTTTAATAAATACAAATTAAAAGGAAAGTCTGGGAACAAGAACAAGAAGTAGCATATGTCTGCCAGAAGAACACGTGAAAATATTTCTTTTTCTGGAGCAGGACCTGATCACAGCCTTAACAAACCTTGTACTTGGGCATGCACTATGAAAGACCTAATAGAGGAACTGAAAGAATATGAAAGAATAAGAACAGAAAGAATGTGAAAGACCCCACAGAGGTACTAAGGGACATAGAGGAATTTGTGTTTGGCACTTACTCCACGTTAACAAAGCTGGTGATTGAATCCAATAGATAGAATTGTTCAAACAGATAGAACAGATACCATTGATAGAACTGAAATTTGTCACCGAGATACAGAATTTGAAAATGGCTTACAGGTATTGTTACATTTGACTGTGCTGTTTGTAATTCCTGAATCACAAGATGTTTTTCAAGCTAGCAATATTAACTAAGAGTGCCAATGACTAGTGCTCCACAGATGCCTAGCAAAGCACAGCATTGCCCCATATGGAATGGAAATGCTTTCCCTGTCTCATTTCCTTCTAGAGCTGGCAGAGTTCTGTGTTGTGGGTCTAAATGTTACCGCATTAGGCTGTGATAGTAACACATAAACAGAAGGATAATGGGGAGAGGGGGAAGTGTGTGTGTGTACAAGGATTGTGGTGGAGGTTCTGGGGATATGACATAATGTGAAACAGAGACATGAGGTGAGCAGGTGTTGCTCACCAGGAAAAGCAAACAGGTAGCTGCTACTAGGATGACCTCTCTTACCTGGCCACAGCTCTCAGGTAAACGTTGCTGTTTACCAGAAAAGACACTGCAGGTCCTCAGGGTAACATTTTGCTGAGCACTCGGTCACTCTAGAAAAGGAAAGCTACAAAGGAAGACTTCAGCCACTGAGGATTTGATGGGCCAAGAGCAGAAGGAAACAGAGGATGCCGCAATGTGATGCTACCAGTGCTGTCTCAGCACTGGAAGTAACATGCAACTCTGGTGCATCTTTTCATATCTTGGGGAGAATCTGGAAGTGAGCAGAGTGACTAATTTCTGTCCCACTGAAATGTCTTTCTGTCTTGCTAACTGGGAACCTGAGTTGTAAAGTATGGAGATGGGAAGTTTGTTTGTGTGATCAGAAGGTAGAATATGATGCCACTTTTAGTTCCAGAAAGTCTATAACTCAAAAGGTAGCTTCTACATCAAAGGCAGTTGAGATTGAGAAGCGACGATATGTTGGTGCATAGGGTGAAGTTTTCCAGTGCTCCCAGCTATATTGGGAGCTTGTACTGCAGCTGGACAACCAGAGACTCACGCCATCTACCTCTGAACTTACACAGCTGGCACTGGTACATAAACTGAAGAGTAGAAAGGATTTCTATAAGACATTATGAAATCAGCAATGGTCATAACAGCAACCTAACTTGATTGTACTTTCACAGTATATTTCTCTATCTCAGTCTTACCTACATTGCTTTGTGTTGTGTTAACTGTGTCATAGCAAATATGTTTAATTAAAAAAAAGTTGGTGTATATTCAAATTTTATTTGAATATACATATATATTTACTCATATATTTACTCTCTAGTAAGATCAATTTTTAAGGTGTCTTTCTGTTGTGACATGCTGTTTCTGATAGCTGAGTTAGTACCACTTGTGAGGAAGTAAGAGACAATCTCCAGAGCATGAGCAGGCATAGTTTTTTGGGAGAGCTATTTCATGTTATTAATGGTTGAGAATCTTATACAGAAATGCAAAGCAGCTTTATCTTATATTGAATTTAGGTGTTTTGCTGTTTTGTGTGCAACAGTTCTCATTGTACTTAGAGCCTTTTCCCTAATTTGCTGAACATTTGAGGCCTCTCCTTTGGGAAAAACTGAGCCTGCTTCAGTACTTACTGTCAAAAAGAATGACTCTGCCATCCCCACCGCAAGGCTGAGTATGGTCTCCAAAGCAAACACTGTTGCATTCCGTGCTGGCTGCCTCCCCGTATCTCCAGTAGTCAGGGTTATTTCCGCAGAAACAAGCATAACCTGATTCCATGCCTGCAAACTTTGACAACAAAGATGCATAAGAAGGGAGGAATAACATTTGAAGGAGTGACAGCGGGAGGCTGTATGAGCAAGAAAGCTGGCAGCAGAATATGTGTGTTTTGGAGGAGTATGATTAGTCAGAGGAACCACCACAAACTGTTTTTGTTTGAGCTGTCAGGATGCTACTTAAGGCTAGTGAGAAACATGGAATGGAGGACCGTTAGGGTGCCCTGTCACTCATAACTGCAGTAAGCAAGCATACTTTCTCCTGGCATCCTGGCATTTGTCCAGATTGCTCTGGATGCAGAGAGAGGGATATAGATCTCTTGGAGTGGAAGTGAGACCTTAGACCTCCTAAAGGTTTAAAAAAAAAAAAAGGGGGTAACAGGAGAAATACGAGAGAGAGCTCTAGGCATACTGCTGTCTTTGAAAACATTTTGTAAATGTACGTCAAAGAAATCACCTTAAATTGTTGACTTCGGCAGGAACTGATGCATGTTTGGATAGTAAGTTTATTGGAAGTCTCACTGGTGCCAGTCAAAGGTGGTGGTTCTCCATGGTCCTTGTAACACCCCAGATTCCCTGGCACTGGCAAGAGCAACAGACAACAGTCATTCTAAAGGTGTGCCTGTAAACATCCAAAACACAGACCACCTTATGCACTACCTGATTACTAAGCAGTATGTTCTGCAGTATGGGAAGTGTTACTCTATGCTAGATCCTTGTCATATTTTCCAAACATGCACAGGGATAAATGAAGGGGCAAGAGTATCATGTCTTCTTGGCAATATACCTGTAATACTCTCTGGTTGGTTCCAGTAATCTGCAGTAAAATAGACAAGATAAATACCTGGTTCATTTCTCCTGACAGAGACAGTTAAAAAAAAAAGAAAGGCATTAAGTAGTTTCAGAGGGTTTGTGGGGGTTTTTTTACTATGAGCATGCATATTCTAACAGTATAAATTAAACTATGTGATTTCTGTCTGATCTTCAAAACAATAACATTCTGGAAGTTTTCAAAACAGGATATTTGAGGAAGGGAACCTAAATTGTTTTAGAATGGAGTTTGGCAAATTTTATGGGAGGGACTATGTACTTATATAGGGGAATTTCCCTAATATTTAAAACTTGAATTCTGAGATGAATTTGAAGTATCATACAAAGAGATAAAAAATGAGCAATATCACTTTAAAAAAACCCTATTTTTATATCTATTTACATTAATACAATGTTTCAAGGTCCTTGGTCACCATGGGAGCTCAGTTTTCCCCCTTCAGTGCACAATTTGTCCTCTGTTTTTGTTTTGGTTTGGTTTTGCACTTTTCATCAAAGCACTGGAATTTAGCCATGACCACCCCACGGAGAGGATGTGGAGTACAATATAATACTGGGCTAATGGCATAAAATTACCCCTTGCCTACTTGTCATATCTGCTCAGATACTTGAAATTAAATCTATTCCCAGTTCTATGGTAAGGTAAGTGTTTTATTCCTATGCCAGATTGACAAGGATTCACCTAACTGCCACAGCTCTGTATTAGAGTTTTATTTATTCAGTCATTTTTTATTTCAGTACCCAGTAAACATAATGTGGCTTCAAATATTGTTCATAATTTCCTAAGAATGACACAATTTCAATTATAAATACTTGCATGGAGTTATGGCTTTGATATGCCCTGCAGCAAAATGCATATAAGTACTGAGACTTCAAGTTACAGCCTGATTTAACATACCTTTGGAAATCCCCATTTACAGCCCCACCCCAGCTGAGTACAGCTGGGCAGATAACTCTCAGAGAGCTCATTTTTTTGGCACTGTGCATGCTTTCACTGCTCTGAAAAAGCTTCCTAGTTAACCAACCTAGCTCATTTCCCTAAGAGACCTGGGATTTCGTAATTTTTTAAAAATTTTTGAAGTAGCTTTATTGGTGAGACCCTTCAACCTTATCTCCAGAGAATTAGTACTTTAATATGTAAGAAATCTGACAGAGTAATTTGAAAACCTCTTAAATTTTGTAACTAAATCAAGTGTACATCCTAAAGCTAATTAGTCTCTTTGGTGTCCCAACAGTATTTTAATTTTCCTTGCTCTTAATATTTAGCCTACTAAAGAAACTTGGCAAAAAATGAGGTAGTCAGTGTTCTGCGATTACTGTTCATGCTGACCAGTGATCTTTTACTATTAAATTGTCTTCACCTCTTTGTATTTATGTGTTCTCTTGTGCTTAAGAGGTCACCTCTTTTGTGCAAACATACTATTTTTCTTTTAAGCAGTATCTGACATAATGAGGTCCTGGCAAAAACCACAGCTTCTGCGTTTTACATGCCAAGGCACATGTATTAAAACATGGAATTAATCATTTTGAGATCAAAGTCATGTTCCAGCTATGCCCATCTAGTTGTCTTTCAAGAGCCTCCTAGCCTTTTGCAATGGTAGTATGCACCAGTACACTGTCTCAAATGGTTTGAGCTCTCTGCTCTTGTGTTAAAATGCAGACAGGTCAATCTTACAGGGTGATCCTGGCTCTGCCATTTAACACTTCATCGATATCTCAGTCAAATTTATTACATTACATACATGCACACTGGAAAAATGATTCCAGTAATGAAATCTGTTTATGGGAAGAGAGTCACACAGGTCATAAACACAGAGATGCAATTAAGTGGGATAGCAAGCCTTTCTTTTACATTTTGGGAGCATAAGTTGTTATTTCCTTTGAGTTTAAACCTAACCTCATTAACAAGGAGACCAAGAAAGTCAGGAGTAGCTGCGACATGGCAAACAAACCATCTAAAGCGTTCAGTTCTGAATTCTCCATGTGAGATGCACATGTTCTCTCAGGACTCAGAGCTGCCGTCTTGACTTTTATTTTGGTTTTGTTCATTCCACTCTGCTTAGCAGACAAGACATTAAGAAGAAGAGAGGAAGAAAAGGAAAGACTAAGCTCCTACTGGGGTAACTACTGCTGTCTTCTGTGATTATGCTCATCCATCTTCCTCCAACACTGCTAATTTCTGTACAGCGTGTCTGCACACGCAGAGTGCCAGAACTCACTTCTGACTGAAACATTTAGTGTTACGTATAAATATTAGTGAATGAGACACATGATATAATCATGTGAAATCATCATCATAATGCAAAAGTCTTAACTGTAGATTCTTAATTATTGTTACAGTGAATCATTGCATGCAAATCTCTCTGGGCAATCAAGACGCTTCATGTTGTTGGCATTGTCATGGTGTTATGTGGGTATAGTTAATAGGGAACTTATGCTCCAGATACTTGTCTTTTCTAGCAGTAAATATGATTATGGAAAAGAAGCTTATACTCTTCTAAAAATTTTCAAACAGGATTTCTTTACATGATTGCTTTCTTGCTCCATCACAAAACTCAGTTTTGTATTGTGTACTTCACAAGACAGTTTTGATGGTTCTCTGATTTAGCAACGTGCTTACTGAAAACAGAAAATCTGGTGAAGAATAAAAGATTTTTTTACTTACACAGTAAACCATGAGGTTTGTATTAAGATTTGGATGGGCTTGCAATGTACAGTTTGCTCTAAATTGCTGCAATTCCTTTTACTAGTATTGAGTTTCAGTGCAATTCTTGAAGCAGCTGCTACTGGTCAAAAGGACATTTTGTAAATATAAGTCTGGATTATCTGTGCAAGTAAGTGTCCAAGTTTAAATCCTCTGCTCCCCACCACAGAGAAAATGAGTGAGGCTGGTTTTAAAAGGATCCTTTGTGTAGAACAAATGGAGTGGAGAGAATTTGCCTTTCAGCTTTTTTCCTGGTGCTGTATCCAGATAATTTGTTAACATCTGTGGTCTTTAAAGAAAATGCAAATTCTTTCATTTTAGACTAAGATAAATTTCTTAATTAGGAGGGTCAGGTTTCCTAAATCAAACGTGGTATATTAGAAAAAGAAGAGCAAGATGTCCTCTAAACAATGAGTATTGGAGTGTTGAATGATTTTGCGTTATTTAAAATTAGACCACTTAATTTGTATTTAAGTCTAGGTAAAAGTCATCTGACTTAAGGTCACACTTAAGTATTTGTTTGCCTAGCTTGAGGATGTGACTCATTCACTCGTGCATAAAACAAACAAACAAACAAACGAAAAATCTATGAACAAAGTAAACAAATCTATAGATCCATTTTTCTTTGCTTGGTTCTCTTTTCTTAACTTCAACTAAGAAACATACTTCTTCCAATCAAACGTATTCCTACATAAGGACAACTGCTCTGATGCTTAAGAGTGTACACCTGAGTTATCCCTTAGAAACAAAGACTCCTTCCACAGAAGAAGTAAGGAAAGCAAGTGAAGGCACTAATGATTAGACTTAATAAAATGTGTAGCTATGGTTGCTTGTTAACATGTAAAACTGAAATCTCTTTTTAATATCCAGGCATATTTTAAGAATGTTATTCTTAGGAGCTTATCTTGGAGCACTGGGAAAGAAAATTTTGGAACATACTGACACAAATCATGACATTTTAGACAAGGTAAAAAATATAATATATTAAAAATATTAAACACTGGAAGGAAGCTTCAGGTGAATAGCTTGTGAATTATCTGATTGAAAAAAAAAAATCAAGCAAAGCCCAGGTTGTGGTTTCACAGCAATTCTAAGTACATGCACCTGCCAGAGATAGAATTCTAGCCTGGAGTTCCCACATACCAAATAGCCACCTTTTCCCTGTATGATGCACTATCACATTAAACTAATACAATTCATTTTACAAGCTTAATTGCAAATGGTGGACACCTACATACCTTGTAAAATTTTTCCTATTCATATCCATATTTCTATGGATTCAAAGAACTGGCAGTACTTTTGTGTGATTCTCTGTCATGCAAAATTATTTGTAAATAATATAATCCCGTAACTCTGAGATAAGATGAAAAGCATAGCAGTGGAGGAACAATTCAGTGAGCTAGTCATTAACTCTAAAAACCCATTTAAAATATAGCTTAGTCTGTAAACGAAAATAAGATGATTTGCCTTATCCTGGTTTCTCTTTGAAAATCACCACCCACTGCTGTATAACTGCCAGTCTCTGTGAGACAAAGGCCTAAAAAATATTGCCTGGTGCTCTTACTTCGGCAGGATGGAATCTCACAGTATTTCCAATATATTCCATCCTCATGTTCTGCAATGTAGCACCATGGGCTGACATCTCCATCAGGATTTCTGAAATACAAAAATCGAGTGAGTGAGTGAGTGAAAGTCATCAATTTTTTTTTTTTCAAAAACCACATATAAGTCAATCTTCTTAAGCTTCAATGACAACACTATTTTTGCCCTAATACCTCCTGTTGGACTTATATACCAAAAAAAAGCAAAAGTGGTCAGGAAGTTTAGACAGCTTTGCTTATTACAGTACACATCACACATAAGAAGCCCAAAATGTCTAAAATGTAATATCTTTTTACTTTAAGTTTAAAAGGTGCAGAGTTATTTCTCATAAGTACTGATAGAGAGAAAGATTTTCAGTCCCACATCCTGTGTACAGGTTCCATAGGCTCCTAAACTTGATTTTTTGCTTTGGTACAAAATAGTTCAGACTCCAACTTTCTGTATGTCTGGTGATAAAAACATTTAGCTGATAAAGTCTTCTTTAGGGAAAGACTGAGTTATTTTCTTTCCCTTCAGTAAAAGTGAGTAAACCTGTTCCAGTGACCTCTCAGTATGGATGGGTAATTCCTTATGTGTCCATGATGATGATTATCATTATCATTACCATTATAATTATTTGCTGTTGTGTAGCTCACTTACAAATGCATACCTAATTAGTCATTATATTATTTAAAGTCTTTTCTATGTACACTTTGAAAAGCTATTCACATTGAAAAGATCTGTTAAAGAGAATAAATTGTTGTTTTGCACAGTCAGGTTGAAATGTGACCTTTTCTTTTAAGTATGACCAGTTACAATCTCTTTATTATGAATTTTGGCATGAATTCTATTAATTACACCCCTCTACTGAAGTGTCAGTTCAGCTGCATGTTGTCATTTACGAGTATTAACAACTCTTTTGTGGGAGATCCCATTTTAGAAATGCTGGGGATATTTTTTGGTCAAGTAACAGACTGCTGAAGACAACTGGTGAGTTGAGTTCAATTTGGATGACTAAAATGTTGCTAGTGAGGCTTTCAAAAAGATTAGTAAAGGTGGTGGACAAGGAGAGCCTAAGACTGGAATGCTAGGAATTTAGATGTAATGGCAGAGCTTCCAGTAGCTGAAGAAAGTAGAAGACTAAAACCAAGAAGAAGCTTGTACTCAAATTAACACATTTTCCCTTGTTTTCACAGTTACAGGAATTTTTGCATTTACATCTTCATGACAGAAACCATATGTCTGGAATTGAATCGTGATAATGACACTCTGCATATAAATGCCTTAAAATGTGAGGAAATTGTAGAGAGACATGATTAATGTCTTTGGAAATCTTTGTCTTGAACCTCAAAAGTGCATACAGTTAGAAAACAAGTGTCTGTCTTTCAGCCTTCATAATTTTGTTATGGTTGAAATGAGGTTTAGTGGAACATGATGAGGCATTTCCATCTTAACAGGGTGTTTTGCAGTAAACAAAGTATTCCAAGTAAGGACCTCCCATGGAGAGGTAACATGCTTCTGATTAATGCTTTAAGTGTAAAACTAGATTATTCAAACACTGTCCCTAAAATCAAATCTCAAAGCAATATATTATGCCTTAAAAAAGCCTTCTGAGATATGTGCTGCCTCAGAGAAGGGAAGATCAACTCGTCCATTGTCACCAAGTAAATGAATGTCAGAGAAAGAGCTGAAACAGCTCTATCACAGGCCTCAACATTTGCATGCTGAAGATATGCTCTGGCCATCTTAGTGACTTTCCAAGCTTTCTTTCAAGACAATTCAAAGTTAAAAGTCATCCATTAGTTAGGATTGTTATTCCAGAATATTCCCAGGCCAAGTGATACAGCTTAAGGAAGGAAAGAGCTAACCTTCCAGTCAAACTCCGTCTCAAAGAGGATAATCTAACACCTAGCAGATTGAGGTCAGAAAGCTGTATTTGGTAATTAAGTTATTTCTCAGGTTTATATATCAGATTATAGGCTTCTTGCTTCTTGTAACACTTACCAAATTCTCATTTGCTAAGTAAAGCAGTACTCTAGCAAGAGTTTCTTGAATATCTGAGAAAACATTCAGATTGTTACGCACGTTTTTGCATAGCTCATACAACCTGTTTCTCTTTGTACTAACTGAAGCATTAGCCCAAGTTGGCTGCCAAAAGTGAGATCCTGTCTGTCTAGAATATTGCCACACAGCAACAATCAAAATTACCTTCTTCATTCTACTATTTGTATCACAGGCAACCCAGTGGCCACTAGACTTTTCATAGCTCCATATTAGTGTCCTTGCTGAGACACACAGCTCTCTACCTGTCATGAAAATCCTCACACATTTGGTGCTGCTGGGCTGAGGGAGCCTGTGAAGTTGGTATGAAATGTTTTTAATGGGAAGACAGCCCTTCCAGTGCTCACATGCCAATCTGGTACTAGAAAGTTTGATATCTATCTGGTTTTCAGTAAAGACAATGCCCAACTTCTACAGAACTTCTCTTGTAGGTAGTGTATTTTGCTTTGCTCCTGTAAGGTGCTGAACTGATTCAAAAAAGAGTCAGTTCTGAAGCTGGCAATAATGCTTTCTCATTTATGGCTGAAAACAGAGTACACTGGTGCAACACACTGAAGTGTTATTTTGAAGCAGTGCTGCAGCCATTGGAAAAGATCCCAAGTATGTCTTTTTCTTCCCTGTCCTACACCAATATTTTTCAATGAGAAACAGCCTCCTGAATCATCACATACTCTGGAAATGTCACTGACTCCTTTCATCAGTGTGCTCTTCTGTCCACTGCATGTCACAAGATCTCTTTTGTATGATTTCTTACTTACTCTCCATTAACTGTCTGGCTCTGGCTCTGGCCATATTTTCTTGAATCCAGTTTCTGATTAAATAAGGAAAAGTTCTTGGATCAAGATCCAGGACCTTACATTCATGATATAGCAATTCTGCTGAACTCCTGCATGTTAATTTTGTCCCATTTATGTAGCTTTATATTACTTACAGAGAAATGATTTCAACATGAATGTAGGAAGTGTATAGTCTCTACACTAAAAAGCCCATAACCTGCTAAGTAAAAGCATCTTTCAGGAGAACAGAGGTGTGGTTTGAACCTTCTCACAAAGGAGACATTACAGGTTTTCTTGCTATGCCTCAGATAACTCAGTTCTTAAGCTCCTGGTTTAAACATCTCTGTCCCCAATTCCCAGTGAGAAAGAGACACCACTCAACTTTATATGCATCCTAAATGAGCTGATTATTATTGCTGTTTAAGGACTGTATCAGGTTGTTCTCTACCTATACCCACAGCAAGTAGAGATTCACACAGAAACTCAGCTGATCAGTCCTGCAGAGGCAGAAGGGCAGGTAAATGTTACAGGCTGAAAAGGGCCTGCAGAGCCAAAACATCTCGGAACTTCAGTTCAGATTTGGCTCCTAAATTCTGAAGTTCTTATTTAAGTTTTGTTCTAACTTCTATCCATAGTTATGGAGTTCTTCTCTAGAAGGCAAGGAAAGAGAAGTGGATCTGCCATGGTTTAAGCTGGTATTGTAACCCCTGACAGTTGAGCTTCTGAACTCAAATAACAATTCCAACTCACTGAACAGCTCATGCTCACTTTGAACTTTTAGTGACTACATAACTTTCATAAGCACAAAACTTGGAAACAGAGTGTATAACAGAACCAGGCTTGTGTGTGAGGATAAAAACCATAACATCCCAGAGACTCCTTCAGACATTCACTGTGCTGCTGTACTTCTGATTTGGATCAATTTTTTTATTATCTTCACCTTTTCATTTAAGTAATCTATAGTCTTTCTCTGTCATGCCAAATTATAGATTGGACACCTGATAAGGACTGTGCTGAAAAAGTGTGCAAGCTGGGTTGAAAAAGTAATTCTACTAATGGTGCTTGTAGATCCAGGGTACTGATTACAGAATAAACCAAAGCCTGATAGATATCCATGGTTATGACATTCTTCACTGCATGACAGGAAGTTTATTAATTTTGTGTCAACCACTCAAAGTAACACTGGGTATACAGGCAAAGTTAGTAGCAATGTGATATTTCTTACCTGCAGTAGTTATGCTCTCCAAGCCCTCCCTCCCCATTGGGATATTTCACAGTATTATAAGGATGCTCAAAGGTCTCATTCCAAAAAAGACAAGGTTTCCCTGCATACTGGGAAGTCTGGTTCTGAGTGCCACGATAGTCAGCCCCATTTGCTGTGTAACATTCTGGGAAGAAAGAGAAATGGAAAAAGAGAAAGAATGTATACAGGTTTAGTGTTTGGTTGTTCTTCCCTCACTCTCCACCCCATCTCCAACAGACCATGTTTGCTTTTACTAATATGTTTCCTGCATTGTTTAGGCAACTAAACATGCTGGCTGGGATTTTAACTTTCTCTCAGAGTCAAGCCTCTATTGGAGAGATTATGATGTCATTACTTTAATAAACCATGTATAAGACCGGTGGTTTACACAATGAACATGCATTTTCTCAATAAGCAGACTACATTTTTCACTGTTGTCCCTCTGTTTTACTCATTAGAATGACTCTGTAACTTGTTAATTTTCCAAAAATGAAATTATAGGACATTATCAATCTGCCACTTATTAGCATATTACCCAAAATCTCATGTCACTTCAGCTGAAGTTTTAAATATCTGTACTTTATAAAGTGAAAGACTTTGTAGGCATGGACCTTACAAACATTTATATTCTGATTTAGAAAAATTCTTGGGCATTATTTTCCTCTGGCCTGAATTGCCTTAGGAAGGTACCTCCTTTAGTAGAGTATAATCATGATACTGTGATTTGCCACTAGAGCATTTATGCTTCCAGATAAAAAATTATGGGTCAGTATTCTTCTGCCTTGCTCATATTTTCTCCCACTTATGTTTGTTTTCCTGGCTTCCTGGTACTCAACAAGTTAGAAACCATAGCAGAGAATGATTTCTTTAGCCACTAAATACACTACCCATTTCTCAGCTGAACTACAAATCTCATGCTGCCTGGCTTTGCTGTGTCTTGCTAATCACAGAATCACAGAATAGTTTGGGTTGAAAGGGACCTTAAAGGTCATCTAGTTCCAACCCACCCTGCCATGGACACCTTCCACTAGACATCTTCTATATTCATATGCATGAACAATTTTACCTTTTGCCAAAAGTAAAAATCATAATTTTTGATTACATTATGCACTGTGAGGGTGATGAGCATGGGAACAAGTTGCCCAGAGAGGCTGTAGAATCTCCATCCTTGGAAATACTCAAAAGCCACCTGTACATGGTCCTGGGCAACTTGCTTTAGGTGACTGTGCTTGAGCAGAGCAGCTGGATGAGATGACCTCCAGAGGTCACTTCCAACCTCAACCATTCTGTGACTCTGTGATCATCTTCCAGAAATAATTGTTATAATTAATGTACCATAAGTAAGTCCATCCTGTCTATAACTAATACTTGCTAACATTTGTCATCCTTGCATTTATTTCAGAACAGGATTAAAATATAACAGTCCATGACAGAATTAAAACTGCTGTGTTACACTGCTCTAAACATTTCTTTGTACAGAATAGCTTTAGTGGGGAAAGTCACAAATACTTCCTACCAACTGCAGGCTGTGAAACCTCCTGTTTGATCTGATAGTATTCTCTGTAGAAACCATATTACAGCTGCAGAGACGTTCTACTGCCCTGAGGGAACGGGAGAATGCTCTGAAGTGAAGTATGTGCTGATCTCAGATGTCCTTCATGAGACAGAACTTAAAAAACAAGGCTAGAAAGACCTGTGTGGCTGCAGTTGGAAGAGGGAAAAAACCAACCCACAGCTTAATACTGATATTAACAGTTCACCTTTTTTTTTATTTAGAAATACTGTGGGAGATGGAAAAATGTATTATTAAAACCATGCCTTTGAAATTAGTTTAGTCTGGGCCCACAGATATCAGAATGGTGTAATTATAATAATTATTTCACAGTTTTATTACACAGCAGATGAAAGACTATGTTTTTGTGCCTTCACTGTGCATTTTCATGCCTAGGCAAGTTAGGATTTCAATTAAATGAAATTTTGTTGCTGAAGGCACACAGAAGAGGTGTCTGCACAGCCATTAATGCATCTGCTATCATCTTTGGACAGAAAGCTATATAATTTAACAAAAACAAGCTTCAGGTCAATACTCCTCCTTGCTGTAATTTACCTGACTGCCTCAGTCATGCAGGTGGGCTGCATACATTTACTTGAAAATGCAAATCTGAGTTTCCAGTATTCAAGCCACCACAGGTATTTGTGTAAACATACGAAAAAAGCCACTGTAAAGTCACCAAGTGTTGCAACTTCGTCTTCAATACCTCTCTTGCTTGGCAGTTAATATAAAAGCTTTTGTATGTTATAGCTGAAAAATATAAGCTGAAGAATTTAGCAGAAAAGAGAGGAAAACATAATCAAACTAGATCAACAAAATAACGTACAGAATAAAGAAGCAGTTGAGAGAAGTGATAAACACATCCAGAAAAGATGTCTACGTCAGCTTTGTACTATTACTTTTCTTTTTTTGCTTCTCACTTCTAAATGAGAAGCAATATATACTAACATCTATTCAGAAATGCAAGGAATGTTACAATACCTGAATGAGATCTGGCGCACAAACTAAACTGAAGTTAACATCAGTCCATTTTAGGATCTGCTAGGACTGGCCCATGCTTTAACTCGCAGTAGCGACTGACTTAACATTTTCATGTCAGCTTTTTCTAACTGATTTTCTTCAAACTTCATTGCACCAGGAACAAAAGGAAGAGTCAGATCTCTCTTCATTCCTCTTAGCTGTAGCTTTTTGTTCCCAGGACAACAGGTAGCTGTATCAATGCCTCCTGTGTTCTTTTGCAGTATCAAGAGATTTGGGGAAAATGTGCCAGCTGAGCTGTAGTAAAGCTCCCCTGGCTCAGTTACCATCTAGATGTGGAATGGGGAGGCAGTGACATACCATGCAAAATCATTGATTATCCCCAAAACACTGAAATGAAAACTTTTAGTTATGGAATTTAGTAGCTGCTACCAAATGAAATACATAAACTTTTGTGTAACAGGGAATTTGCTAGGAAATGTTCATTTTGTTAAGGATTAATAATAATTTTGCCAGAGCACTGGAGTTCAATCTTTTCAAATAAATACCGGCATTTAAAAAATCAGGTCAGTTGTCCTTTCTATGCTCCCTCCTGGCTTTTTGTGCACCTGCTCACTGACTGAGCATGGGAAACTAAAAAGTCCTTGACTCAGAGTAAGCACTACTTGGCAACAACTAAAACATTGTTATCAACATTATTTTTGTATTCAAGACAAAACACAGGACTGTATCAGCTACTAAGAAGGAATTAACTCTATACCAGCTGAAACCAGGACACAATCCTACCTTCTTTTCCCTTGAACAGGCAGCTTTGAGATCATCTGAGATACATTTTGTACAGTTTCCTATAAAATTCCTAGTAGCATAGTTACAGATCTCAGCATATTCAGTATCTTGGCAGTAAACAGCTGAATTCTTCTATTTGTCACATGCAGTGATTTCATCTTATTTTGCTGCATAACAGCCAAGACACCACCTTAGCAATCTCACCATGAAATTAATATTCCCAGTGTGTTGAAGGTGCAAAGTAAATGTTTCATCTTCGGACAGATCACTGTCCTCTCTACTTCAAATCCATGGGCACCACTTTAAAAAGTGCTAAGAAATTCTGGAGAACAGGAGGTTAGAACCTCCACCCTACTTTTCATCTTGCACCACTGGTGCAATAGTTCTGTTAAAAGATGAGCTTAAAAAAGGTCAGCCAGATTTGTCTGCACAAAACTAAGTCAGACGAGGTCGTCTGAATTAAACAGTCAGAAAAGACTGGACTGAGCACTATTGGTAAAACTCTTGGGCTTCCTCAAATGACCTGGTTTCTCTTTGGTAGATTATGAAGAAGGGAGAGGGAAAAGAGTAAACCAACCAGCAACAACCACCTCTCTACTGTTGTGGCACCCACTGGATCCAGCTGCCTTATGTTGACTGATACGTCCACGATACTTTAGGCTATGAAGCCCTTTGCTTGGAACCCAACGTCAGAACTGTGACTCAAGTTCCATAAATTTCAGCAAGCCTTACTCCTTAAAGTTTTCCAAGACTATGATAAACTATGACAGAACTTGCACTGTATCCAAGTCCTCTCCCAGTGGAAGAACAGACACTAAAGCTCACAGCTTCCTAGAAGGCATCAGTGCCACTGTTCTTGATAGATTTGCCACATGGTTTCTGTTCATACACCCAAGGCTCAAACTATCCTGTCAGCCATAAACCTATATTAAACCCCAGTGTTTCAGACAAGACACAGAGAAAGCTGTGACCACTCAAATCCTGAAGTGCCTGACCTCCTCATATTTCTAAGATCTTACTCAGCTGGGTTTCAGACACAGTCTGAAGTGGAGGCTTATGTCAAATCTGTGATTAGAATCAGTGCCTGTGATGATTCCACTCTATTAACTGCCTAATGACCCTGCTGTTTCTACTATTTCGTGAGAATGTCTGTAAACAGAATTAATCAGAGATTAATCAGAGAACCTTTGCAGTGGTTCTAGTCATGAAAAACTGGAAGGTTCAAACAGGTGCTGTTCAGGATAATGAGCCTTGGTAAGAAAACATGGACAGAAGTTTGTTGTCAGGGCTGTATTGTTTTCAACATATCAGGTGCCATGGTTGACAGAAAAGTGATTTTTTAAACGAATGCCGAGACTAGGTAAGTATGTATTAAGTAGCAACTGCTAGAAAGAAAAAGCAGAAATCAAGACTAGGGATATTGTCCACTATGAGTGAATGCTCAGTGTGGGATACAGGTTCACAATTAGTTTTATCAGAGCCAGATCAACATTTGGAAGATCAAACAGCAGCTGTCCTAGAAATTTTTTCCATCTGTGTCGGTTTCTTCTTCAATGTAAGGACCTTACAATGATCATTTGCCTTTGTTACTTTGGGACTGTATGGCTGCCTGCACTCCACATGGGCGCCACTTTAGAATCATTTGAAAAATTAAGGTAGTGCAGACTTTTCTACTGAATGAGGCACTGATGATAAATCACTGACATTTCAGAGTCTGCACTGGCTTCCAGTGATTTTCTACGATGGACTTCCAAATATTGGCTTTAATCTCTGAAGTCCTTAATGGCAAGAGGCCCAGTTACCTGGGAAATTCTCATTTTGTGCCACAT